ATCATTTCTCCTCGTCTCCCACATCAAGAGGGAAGGGTAAAGGGACTACCATATAAGGGTCCTCTGCCGCGATTCATCTCGAACCGACTCCCGAACGTCTCGTCTCGTCCTGTCCTCGTCTCGCTCGCTCTCCTCTTCGACTCACCAAGCACCCGCGTACTCACCATCGTCTTTTCCATCTCGTTTTAATCTCGCCGCATCACAAACAAACAACTCATCACTCCAAACCGTCTCGAACCGCATTGTCTCGCTCGCTCACAAATAAACAAAAGCCTCGCTCCCAACCGTCTCGAATCGTCTCGAACCGTCTCGTCCTGTCTCGTCTCGAACCGTCTCGTCCTGTCTCGTCTCGCCTCGCCCGCTTACACATAAACAAGAGTGTGGACCAAATGACTCGCTCCGAACCCGCATTGGTGAAATTGGCTAATAGGATTAGGACCAGCCACACGGATTGGAATGATGAGAGAGAGAGAAAAAAGGAGATGAAGAAAGAAGAGAATCTCTTTTTAAGCTGACATGATTTTAATTATCACCAACCAGTGGAATCTTGAGCCAAACATTAATATAATCTGAAAGATCGTTGGTACCAATTAAAAATAACAAGGAAACTGCCCATGGTGCTTGTGGGTGAGACATCGAAAAGTGTAAATGGGCAAGTCATGTAAAAATCCAAAAAACGATTTCTTTCCTCGTTACAACCTCTTTCTCCTCCTCCTACACCCCCTCGTTTTTTTTCTTTATTTTTCTCCTTTTTTTTTACTACAACCTAATAGCTTATGGCAACGCCGGGTAAACTTTTATAATGTCATATGTCTTGGAGAAAACGAGAAGTTGTTAAGCTGTAAAAGATAACAAATAATCTGTTCCCCCGTTTGGGCGAAAGATCATTTGAGTTTTGGGGCTGGGGGCTGGGGGGGGGGGGCACACCACTGACAGACTGTAAGTTATTCATTCAGTTTTACAGCCGTGGCATCGGTCGAAGAAACTCGGAAAATAAATATAAACTACACGTGTAGAGATGAGATAAGCTTCTCTTCCCGCTCGCTCGCTCCCTCTACTCTTTCTCACTGCTCTTTTCCTCTTTTTCTCCACTGGTTTGCTTTGTCACGTTCCCTCTCTCTCTCTCTCTCTCTCTCTCTCTCCTCCTCTCTCTCTCTCTCTCTCTCTTCTCTCCTCTCTCTCTCTCTCTCTCTCTCTCTCTCTCTCTCTCTCTCTCTCTTCTCTCTCTCTCTCGTTCCGCCCCACGTTCCTTATATCTCTTTCTTCCTTACAAACTAATTTCTTTCTCAATGTTCATTTTCTTTCTCGCACTCCCCCTCTTTCTTCTTTGTAAACTTGTTGTATTTTCTCGAGACTTCTTTCCTTTCTTTGTGTCTATCTATTAATCACTCTTTCCCTTTTTCATATACTTATTCTCCTAACTCCCTCCATTTTTTCCTTTTTTACCGCTCCCTCTTCCTCCTCCTCCCTTCTACCTCCTCTGTCTGTCTGTCTCCCTACCCCCCCTTCTTTCCTCTCCCTCTTCTCCTTTCTCCTTTCTCCCCCTCTTCTCCTCCCTCCCTTCTCTCTTTTTCTCCTCCTCCCTCTCTCCTTTCTCCTCCCTCCCTCCTCCCCTGTCTCCTCCCCCTCCTCCCCCTCTTTCTCCCCTCCTTCCCTCCCTCCCACTCTCTCCTTCCCCTCCCCTCCTTCTCTCTCTCTCTACTCTTATGGTTTTATAGCCTCAAAGATGTGAAAGTGAGTCAAGCGCCCGCATCCAACCTACAATTTTCGACTTAATAATAATCGATAATTCTAAGCATTTTTCCTCAAAGAAGATGGAAGACTGGCCGAAATTACTTGCAGATTGAGCTAATTGAGTCCATCCAGCGAGGGCAACGCATAAACACGCATAGGCTCAAAAACTTTAGCGCGCTTTAAGGAAGTGAACTGCCCTGAACACACACACACAAAAATAAAAATAAAATAAATAATAATAAAAAAAAATCTCCAAGTGTTGTATTTTGTCTTTTTTCTCTCTCTCTCGCAATAAACTGCATAAATATAAAACAGAGCTTTCGAAGCACTTACACTATACCCATTCAAGCAATTCCTTAGACAAACATGCTAGCCCTTCTCTAAAAATAGCCCCTCCTCTGAACATGTTCCATAAGGGTTACTTTTCAATGACCCGGAGCGTTGGAGGTAAAGAGGAAAGGGATGGAGAGAGAAGGGAAGAGTGGGAAGAGAAGAGGGAGAGGGGGGAAGGGAGGAGGAGGGGAGAAGCCGAGGTGGGTGGTGGGTAGTGGGCGGGCGAGTAGGCAAGCATGACCCATACTTCATTTACGAGTCGCTACCGTGCGCGCAGAGAGAAAAAGAAGAGAGAGAGAGAGACGAGAGAGAGAGAGAGAGAAGAGAGAGAGAAGAGAGAGAGAGAGAGAGAGAGAGAGAGAGAGAGTAGAGAGAGAGAGAGAGAGAGAGAGAGAGAGAGAGAGAGAGAGAGAGAGAGAGAGAGAGAGAGAGAGAGAGAGAGAGAGAGAGAGAGAGAGAGAGAGAGATGAGAGAGATAGAGAGGCAGAGAGAGAGAGAGAGAGAGAGAGAGAGAGAGAGAGAGAGATTAGAGAGAGAGAGAGAGAGAAGAGAGAGAGAGAGGAGAGAGAGAGAGAGAGAGAGAGAGAGAGAGAGAGAGAGAGAGAGAGAGAGAGAGAGAGAGAGAGAGAGAGAGAGAGAAGAGAGAGAGAGAGAGAGAGAGAGAGAGAGAGAGAGAGAGAGAGAGAGAGAGAGAGAGAAAGAAAGGCCGGGGTATGTGTTACTCCCGTGAATCTCGTTTCGCCTTCGAGGAGCTCACCGTCTTGTGTTGCTTTTGCCTTATCGAGTTTCCCGATAAATTTTATGCTGTCGCGTCCCACTGTCTTTACGAGTCTTCATCTATCATCCTTTAACGGTACTCCCCGCTCTTCATCTTTATTTGTCCCTTGTGGGAGTAATTTGCTTTTAATCTACTCGTTTGATGAAAACATGTGCGTGGTCTCGAGCGCGTGCGGTGTGTGTGTTCTCGCCTCGGAGCGCCGTTGTGGAAGGAGAGAAGGAAAGGAGGAAGGGAGATATAAGAACTAAGGAAGAAGAAGAATTAAAGAAAGAAGGGGGAATAAAAGAAGGGAGCAACGGGCAAAGAAAGGGAGAGATGGAGGGAGGGAAGAGGGAAGGAGAGGAGAGGAAAGAGGGAGGGAAGAGGGAGGGAGAGGAGAGGAAAGAGGGAGGAAGGGAGGGAGGGAAAGAGGGAGAGAGGGAAGAAGGGAGGGAGGGAGGGAGAGAGGGAGGGGGGAGAGAGAGAGAGAGAGAGAGGCGGAGAAAGAAAAGGAAATCAGATAAAAAACAGGAAGCGAAAAAAAAACAATAACAAAAACACACAAACTGCCAGACAGAACGAGAAACTAAAAAAACGAAGAAAAACGAAGAAAGAAAAAAAAAATCCTTATCCCACCACCTCCGCCCTATGCTCTCTATCGAAGCGCCCTCGACCCGAAACGATTCCCCCCCCCCGCCCCCCCGACGCCCATGTTCCAATCCTGCAGCGAGTGCGAATCCAATGCATTATCGCCCACTCCATCTCCCTCCTGCATCCATCATCCTAGCCTAGTATTTTATCCATCAACATCCAATCTTTCATTTTCTTTTACTTTAATGGCAAATTCTGATGGACTGGATTAAGTTCAATTCTCGTTCTCTTCGTCTTTTTTTTTTTTTTTTTTTTTTTTTTTTTTTTTTTTTTACTTATTATTTGTGTTGTTCGGCCATTATACGCGAGCAGAGACAGAGAGGGAGAAAGGGAGGGAATGAAGCCAAAAGTCAGTAAAAAAAAAAAAGAAAAAGAAAACAAGAAAAAAAATGTTTATTAGTTAAGATCAGGTGTATATCGCAGAGCATGCTAACGGTCGATTTTTTTTTCTCTCTCTTAAATTTCGTTCACATAAAAATGCATTTAGTACCTTATTTTTGAATCCTCTTTTCCATAATATATACTTCCCCTTTCAATTTTTTTTTCTTCTTCCCCTTTCTATACTAATTATCTTTTCCCCCTACCCCTTTTGTAAGTCTACCCTCCTCTTAGCCCTCATTTAACTACCCCTCCCCCAGCCCCCTCCCACAACTCCACCCCCTCCCCTACAAACCCCTTTCCACATCTCCAGCCCCTTACCCTATCCCCCACACTTAGAACTCCCTCCCCCCCCTATCCCCCCTCCACAACACCACCCCCTCCCCCACAACCCGCTTCTATAACCCAGCCCCTCCCCCCACCCCATCTCCTACAACCATTGCCCCTCGACCCGCATTACCAAATAATCGCTAATTATGATAAACAATCGGACCTTCTCGTTTGCTCGGTCCGAACAACTAGCGGTCCACACGATAGTTTAACTTCTGTAACAATACGAAATTTAGCATTTTTTATGATCATTATCATCATCAAAAGGACATCATTAGCATTTTCGTTATCATTATTGTTTTCAGTATCATATTATGACTACCGTTATTATCATAATATCTACATCATAATCACGATCTTCATTACCATCATTATTATTATCCTTACCGATATCATTATCATCATCATCTATATCAGTATTATCATTATTACCATTATCACCATCGTTATTATTGCTATTTGTATGCCTCCATTAACACTTTCATTACCATTATCATTATCATCATTACTATCATCACCACTTATAATACCGAAGCTTTGGTAACTACATCACTCCTTCGTGTTTGTTGATTTTAATGCGCGTTTTGCAAGCAGGAATGTTGCATTACTTTTACTAACGATAACACGATCTTGTTTGGATTCTTCCGCGCGATTTGTTAAGTTCTCCCCTCAGCCACAATCTGCATCACCGCAAAATGCGAGCTGATTGCACGACTCCGCATTCATCCTGCAACATGGACGCTCGAATTAACAGCATAAACTTTCTCCGGCGCAATTATCAATCACTCGCCTCTCTATTTTCCCCGGGACGTTTAACATGGGATTTTTAACGTGGCTTTTCAGATCTCGCAAATGTACGCTGAGTCGTGCCCAGCTCCTACAGGGCGTTTATCTCTTGCCCCGCTGCCCACTCCCCCACCCATCACCACCCACTCTGTGCCCACTAACACCCTCAGAGTGCACGCCCGCTGCCCACTCCCTCCCTCCCTCCCAGCCTCCAGTGCCCTCCCCCCCAGCATCCAGCGCCCACAACCGCCCTCCATTTGTCCCTCCAGTGCCCACCCACCGCATGCTCCTACCCCCTCCCAGCACCCACAACCCACCTTCGCCGCTCTCCCTCATTCCAGCCCCCACTGCCCACAGCCCAATTCACTTTCGTCTTGCCCCTTGTGCTCACTGCCCACTGCCGCCCACAACCACCACCCACGAACGCGACCCAAGCCACCTTGATTGACCTACAGGTCGGGGATGGGCGGTGGAGCAAGAGGGGTGAGGTAGGGGTGGGGGGATGGGGGGGCGGAGGGGACAAGCACCTCGCCTTGCCGATCTTGGGCTTTACACGCCGTAATTTATCTCACGCGCCCGTAATTTTAACCTTTAAGTGCTCATGCCGTAAGGATCGAAATCCCACATCTCATAGCGCATCCTAGAGAGGGGAGGGGAGGAACGAAGGGGAGGGAAAGAGGAGAGGGAGAGGAGGGGGGGGAGGGAGAGTGAGTGTGGTTTGCGAGTGCATTTTGGCCCGAAACTATTTGCTCTCTTAAAGCCCGTTTTACCGTTATCGTCTCTCGTGTACCCATTATGGACGCTCTTCTTAATATGCGCCGTAAATCACCCCGCAATAAGGGTTATTTCCCCCCTTCGATAACACTCCCCGAAGAAAGACCAGTATTTCGTACGGAATATCAAACGCCGTAAATAGCGAGTATAATCAAGTAATCGAAAGAAAGAAAGAAAAAATGAAAAAAAAACTCCGAAAATCTGGAAAATGACCGAAGAACAAAAAGAATAACACACACACAAAAAAAGAGGAAAAATAAAATCAAATACGCAGCCATGCTTTAAATGGTATTTTATAGCACCCCCACCCCCCACCCCCTTAAGACGCGATGTGTCCGGCTGGTCGTGTGTGATCACGCTCTTGCAGAAGGGGAGGGGGGGGGGGGGGGGGGCTAGTGGATGTCACGTCGTGTACATGTACGTGTACGCGTATCTCTGGGTGTGTGTGCGTGTCTATACGTATGGGTGTGTATATGTGAGTGTATGTGTGTATGTGAGAGAATATATGAGTGTGTGTGTGTATGTGTGTGTGTGTGTGGGTGTGTATATGCGCGCGCGTGTGTGTTTCTGCGTGTATGTGTATCTGTTTTTGTGCTCGCCTTTGTGTCTGTGTTTGTATAATTGTATCAGAATATGTGTACATGTTCGTGTGCGCGTGTTCTGCAGGAATGTGAGTGCGGTGCGCATGCGAATAAATCCCTTCGTGTATGGAGCCATGCACTCGCGCGTGTCGAAACGAGCCCGTCCGTAGTGCACGTGCACCCCCCCCCCCTCTCAGGAAGACAAGAGCAGCGAGAATCTCGGCCCCGGATGTCCGAGCTGGACGCCGCGGGACGCAAGCGGCGATGGTCAATGACATCTCACGAGGCGGCGGCGGCGGCGGCGAAGCGATGCCGGACAAAGAAGACACGAGAGGTGCTAATCATCATTATGCACGCTGCTAATTATCATGCGGAGCGAGACTGCTAATTACCATTGCAAGCGAAGCCGCTCGCACGCCTTTTCTCGTCATTACGTCGGGAAACGTCTCATGCAAGCGCCATGCTCGCTGACCACCGCAGCAGCGCTCTCATGCACATCCGCCGCACGGGCTTCGCGTTAGACGGGAACGTAAAAAAAATTCTATAGCAATTATCTGTGTCATTATTTCTCGATGTGCGCTCGGAAAGAGGAATTCCAGCAAACTGGATCCCATGCGGATGCACACGCACGCACGCACGCACACACACGCACGCATAAATTTATAAAGTTAGCATACATACACGTATGCACTGCACCTCGATGCATCTTGATCTTACCGACGTGTGAATAACACAGAAAAAAACAGACACGCCCAAAGTGGCACGGTCAGTTTTTTTCTTAATTTTCAGCCATTTGCAACGCTGAATCGGATGAGCAGAGCAAACAACTGTTTCGCAACTTCCTTAAGTAAAACCGACATCCTCGACGCCTGCGTTTCTTTTTCCTTTTACTTCAATTCTAACATTAATAAATATGACTAACAATTGCCGATTTTTCAGTGACGCAGTAAAAAAAAAATGCTGATGGAGTTAGGACTTCGTCTTGTTACAAAAAACACTCATACATCGTATACAAACACTGAATTATATATAATACCCTCCTCTAAAGTAAAATAAATAAATGAATAAAACAGATAAATAAATAAAAAATAAACAAAAATAAATGATAATAATAAGGTACAAAAAGGGGAAGAGAGGAAACGAAAAAGAGAGAAAAAAAAAGGAAAAGTGAACTCGATATAGCACAGGCAAGAAAGACATGAAAAGGAGGAGGAGGTGAGAGAGGAGGAGGAGTAGGAGGAGGGGGAGGGGAGGAGGAGTAGGAGGGGAGAGGAGGAAAAGGAGGAGAGGAGGAAGAAGAGGGTGAGGGGGAGAGTGGAGGAGAGGATAGGAGTAGGAGTAGGAGTAGGAGGGGGAGGGGAGGGGAAGGATGAGAGGGGTGTTGGAGGAGGAAGAAGAAGAAGAGAACAGGAATAGAAGATGAAGCCAATAACTCTGGAAAGAAAGCAAACGGGATAAAGAACAGAAAGCCAGTAAAGAAAAACAGAAGAACGTAAAGACTAAAGGAAAAGAGAATAGAAGACGAGAATTAAAGGCGAGAAGACAATAAAATAAGAAAGGTCAGAAAAAGGTGGAAAAAAATCAAATAAAAAAGATGGAGTACATGAAATGAACTTGAAAAAAAAAAACGAAAAATAAAACGAAAAAAATAAAACGAAGAAAATATGGAGAGAAAAAAGGACCTAAAAAGGAAGAGGTGGGAGGGGAAGGGGGGGGGGGAGCCAAGGAGATCCCCCAGTGTGATATTGGGAGGGACTTGAGGTATGGGCGAGAGAGCGAGAGGGCGTTGGGCGGCACACACAGGCCTTTCACACCCTTATGAGACTTATTAGAAGAGGGTGGGGAGGGTGGGGAGGGAAGGAGGTTGGGAAGAGAGGGAGGGGAGGAGGGAGAGGGGAAGGAAGAAGACAAGGGGGAGGAGTGAAGGGTGGGAAGGGAGGGAGGTGGAAGAAAAAAAGGAGAAAATGGGAGGGGAGGGGAGAGAGATAAAGGAAAGGGGACGGGAGGAATGGGTGTGGAAGAAGAAAAGGATGGGAGGGGAGAGAGAGAAAAAGAGGGTGAGAGGGGAAGGGAGGAAAGAAGAAAGTGAGGGTAAGGGAGGGAGAGAAGAGAGAGGGGAAGGGAGGAAAAATGAAAGGGAGGGGAGGGGATTGGAACAGGAAAAGGATATGGATGGGGGAGGGTATGAAAAAGGGAGGGAAAAGAGGAGGGACGCATGAAGAGGAGAGGAGAGGAAAAACAGGGAGGGCGTGAATGATATTGTAAGGGAGGGGAGAAGGATGGAAGGAGGCGTGAGGGAGAAAAAAAGAGAAGGAAGAGGGAAAGAAACTTGGGGAAGAAGAGGGAAGAGGGAGGGAGGGAAAGGCCCGAATATGAGACAAGGGAGGTAAGGGAGGCCTTAGATTTACCCAATGCGGATGAGTGAAGGGAAGATTGCACACAGAGACGGATGGGAGAGGGGGAGAATGATAATGAGGGAGATGATACAAGGGCGTCGAGTAGCGGGAATTCTGAAGGGAGAAAATGAGAGACATAATCTAACGTGTTTAAAAGAAGAGCGGTGATGAGAAGAGTGATAGGGAGGAGAGGAAGATGAGAGTAAGAGAGGGAGAAAGAGAGAAAGGGAGAGAGGGAGAGAGAGAGGAGGGGGGGGGGGAGAGGGAGAGAGGGGGAGAGGAGAGAGGAGGGAGGGAAAGAGGGAGAGAGGGAAAGAGGAAAGAGGGGGAGAGGGAGGGAGGGAGGGGAGAGAGAGAGAGAGGGAGAGAAGAGAGAGAGGAGAGAGAGAGAGGGAGAGAGAGAGAGAGAGAGAGAAGAGAGACGAGAGAGAGAGAATGAGAGAGAGAGAGAGAAGAGGGGGGGGGAGTCGAGACGTGAGATGAGAGTAAGAAATTGACCCCGAGCAGATGGAGGC